GATCACACCACTTCCCCCACCCCAATACAGGGCAGGCCAGCCAGCCAACCTCCTGCAGCCCCTAAGCCCCACCAAGCCCCATCCCAGATCAACTCCCCACTCCAATCAGGGCAGGGCCAGCCAGCCAACCACCCATGGCCCCTCCCCAGGCCACTGGTCCCCTATAGGCACCCCTACCTCATTCGGGGGCAGGGCTGGCCAGCCCACCATCCACAGCCCATCCCGATGGCCAGCCACACTCCCAATCAGCCCCCAATCCCAATCATGGGTGGGGCCCACCACCAATTACCCACGGCCCCTCCCCCCAGCTGGCAAGGCCCTGACCAGCCCAGATCGAGGTAGGCCAGCCAGCAAAACTCCCGTCATCTCCTCCCAACAGGCCTAGCCCCGATCTGCCCCAATTGGGGCTGGGCTGGTTGGACCCCACCCATGCACGAATTCGTGCATTGGGCCTCTAGTTGTTTAATAATAATGATGATATATAATCATTTGGTAAGATAAGTTTTACAATCTGCTCAGGGTTTGAATTTTAAGAAACTTTTTTGGACATAGAATTGGCTTTAGGTTATTCCAATAGGCCCTGGAATGCCTCAAGGATTTCTTTTCTCTCTTTATGAAAGAAAATTTTATACTTAAGGTACATGGGAAGCTTTGTCAAATAAAGAAATAATAACTATATTCTATTTATATATGCACATTATTAAAATAGATTCTGATATGCTTTCATTTGTAACTATAGTTACAATAATTGTGGAATATTATGTTTTGCAGAAAAGACAAGATTCCATTATAGTCAAATCCATAACTGTGTCATTTAAAATTTCTTATCATTTAGAGACTGTTTTGTTATAATGCATTTGGGAAAATGTTACATCTTCTGAAGAATTCATGGAAAGGACTCTGACATTTTCTTTTTTAAAATATATTTTTATTGAATTCAGAGAGGGAGAGAGATAGAAAGAGCAATGATGAGAGAGAATCATTGATCGGCTATCTCTTGCACACCCCACACTGGGGATCAAGCCTGCAACCCAGGCATTTGACCTGGCTGGGAATCTATCTAACCAGGGTCTCATGGTTCATAGGTCAATGCTTAACCCCTGAGCCACCCAGCTGGGCAAGGACTGTGACATTTTCAGATCATCCACTTTGAACTGGATAAAAATTATTAGAGCTCTGTAGACTATCTGGATTTATAGAAGAACTATTGGCAGGAAAAATCAGAAGAAACAAGAAGAAATTCATTATGGGACTGAATGAACTGAAAATATATAGTTTTTGTGACTTTTGTTAAAAGTATTGCTGAGTCTTAAAATTTTTGTTTTTCAGATATAAGAAGGCATTTTTAAAGCGATTTGGTAAATTATATATTTTTCTCCCTATCTTATCCCTCCAGAATTTGGCAATTCTTAATGAGTGAGTCATAGTAACATGTTTCCTTGCATGAATACAGTAAGACTAGTTTCCAATTGTGGTTTATTGACCAGGACTTTGGAATATCATGTCCAACATGCCTGGACTTTGGATGTCACTAGAAAGCCTCAAGGAATGAAGCCAATAAGAACAACTTGGGCCCGCGCTGTGCCCCCAGTAGCCTTGTGGAAGCAAGGCCACGATGGCAGATGAGATCGCCAAGGCTCAGGCCGCTCTGCCTGGTGGTGACACGATCTTCGGGAAGATCATTCGCAAGGAAATCCCCGCCAAAATCATTTTTGAGGACGACCAGGTAGGCACCGGGCGCCGCCTCGCTCGTGGGCACGCCGGTTTCCCCGGAGGGAAGAGAAGGGTCGGCGGCGCCGATATATTCCAGATTTCTGTAGCAGAAGATGATGATGAAAATCTTCTTGGACATTTAATGATTGTTGGCAAAAAATGTGCTGCTGATCTGGGCCTAAAGAAGGGTTATCGCATGGTAGTGAATGAAGGCACAGATCGGGGACAGTCTGTCTATCGTGTTCATCTGCATGTTCTTGGAGGTCAGCAGATGAATTGGCTTCCTGGTTAAGTATGTTTTAGGGATAATTTTCCCTGCTGTTGGCAATGATCAGTTTTGCAAGTTCTAATATGCTAAACAGTACATTTTATTTTTGCCTGTGTACGGAGTGATCCAGGAAATAATTTCTAAAACCCATACATAATAAAAGACATCATTGCATGTTCTGAATTCTGTTTTTGATTTATTGCTTTAAAAATATATATGCTGGGATGTATGAAGGGATCATAATTTGGTAGGTTTTTTTGTTTTTTCTCCCCAAGGAGGATCCATATATGTACATTGTTATAGTGGTGTGACTGCTCTTTGAAGACAAATTAAAAAATTATAAATTTTCTCCTGGCGAAGATGGCGGCATAGGTAAACACCGGAGACTGCT